TGGGAGAGAGAAAGAGAGAATGAAAAAAAGAAATTAAATTACAAATAAAATTTAAATTTTAAATTCTTTTAAAATATTCAAACATTTTATTAAATTATCACTAAACAAATAATTCTAATAATTAAAATTTTGGAATTTTGTCAACTCACAAACTAGAATCATCTTTGGAATAGCATTACCAAGCTACATTCTTTTAAAATTGAAAAAGAGAAGATTCTAGTGTTAAAAAACGATTTTACAAAGTTAAGTTAAATTATACCTAAAGTAGAATTGATTATTTTTTAAAAAATTATGATCAACTGAAACTTAGCTGGAAATCCCTTTGCTGTGCTTATATGGCGTGTAGGCTGATCAAGGTCTTCGCTTAGATGGAATTTATTTAAATTGTTCTAGTTTTTATTTAATTATAAATCAGAAAAGAGTTCCGGGCCCAGACAAATTTGGCAACACTAAAAACAAAAATCACCCTATTTCCAATGTTTACAACGAATTTAAAGAGTGGGATTTAATTATTAATTCATTTACTAATAAAATTAAAAATTACTTTATAAATATTTAAAATTTGATCAAAATATATATTCTTTTAAATTCTTTTTTTTTAATTTAATATTATTCATTCTATTTGAAATTTTCAATTTTTCATATAATACATAAATTATATCTATCAATACTTCTTTTTTTATTTTCTTCAATATTCTTATATTTTTTATAAAAGTAGATTTGTTTATTTTTTACATAGCTAAATTTTTCAATTTTTGTTAAATCTTCTATTAATTTTCCTTCATCATTTTTGAAATATATATTGAAATTATTAAATATTTTGTTAATTTCAAGTATCTTTTATTAAATACAAATATTCATCATCTCCAATATATTTATCACATTTCTAATTAAAAATTTGCTGGCTTTTTTGCGGGAAATTTTTCTAAAATCTTGGTGTCATATAAATATTACTGAGAAACCAAAATAAGAATAAAAACACAAATTCAGATTTTTAAAAATTTATCGGAATATTTTGGTATTTGTAATTACTTTTTTCTTTAAAATTTCCAAGTTTGACAAACAGATTTTGACAATATTTATCTAATTTGAGTAAGATTCAACAATACTATACCCCTATTTTCCGTTGAATTTTAAGATTTAGAAACTTAGGAAAACAGAAATAAAACTTAGGGGGTGTTTAACACAAAATATATTGAAAGATAAAATAAAATATATTTTTATTCTGAATTTAAAAATAATAAATAATAATTTTTAAAATTAAATAAAATGAAGGAGGTATATAAAAAATTAAGTGATAAATAAATATTAGTAAAAAGTTAGCAAAGTCGATTTTAAGGAAAATTTCCAATTCTATAATTTTTAATTACCCAAGTCTCTGAAAATAGATTTCAGAAATTATTACTACTTTTTACTTTAAGAAATAAAAAAATTAATTTTAATTTAAAAAATATTTTTACTTCCCACGACATCGAGTTATACTACTGCAACCTCTACTATATGGATTGGCTGTTTGTAATTGTAATTTATGTCTGAAATTTGCAGTATCCCTTTGAAGGGCTCCGTATGAAATGAATCCTTTACCTTTAAATAAATTAAAATAAATATATTTATTTAATTCCGAATACCATTACAATGCTTTTTATATCTCTTAATTTCATCAAAATTAAATATTTCACTCAAAACATAATTGTTGTAAATATTTAAAATAATAATTAAAATTAAAAAATTAAATTTCATTTTATTTAAAATAATTATTTTAATTTAAAATCAATAATTTGAAAAAAGAAAGTCTGGATTTTATGGGTAATTTTATATTTTAAATAATTAATTTAAAAAAATTAAAATAGAATATTTTAATTGGAAATATTGAGGAATATTTTAAAAAAGAATTTTCTATACGTATATTAATATGTACAAACAATTTTTATAAAATTTGCAAGTTCAATTTTATTAAGCTTTTTCTAAAAAATTTTTTGCTTATTAAATTTTAGCAAAATATTTATTTTTTAAATTGATTAAATTGAGATAAAATATAAATAAAATAAATAAAGAAGAATTCAATCCTCCACATTTTTTAAAAATGTCTTAGAATATATGTACCTAATTATTTTTCTTTTTTTATTTAAAATATAAATAATTTTTTAAAGGGTTTCATTTTTAAAATTGAAAAAAAAGTTTTTATTTGTTTATAAAAGCACAAACTGGTATACTGCAAAACATTCTATATGTTTTATAACAGATTGTTCCTCAACTTTAGAATTTTCTAGATTATTATGTAAAGTTTCATTAATAAATTTAATGTTTTCCTTTTAAAAAAAGTAGGAATTCTTTTTTTATAGTACATTCAAATATTCTTTATTTATTGTGGTAAGTTGATCGAATCTTAATCTTCAAACATAAAAAATTTAAACCTAATTTCATAACCTCTTGCATAGTTGTTAACTGGTTGTTCTTGGGGTTTATAATTTTATTTTGTTTTAGAGCATAAATAGCCTTTGTGGTTTACTTAATTACACCAAAAAATGTGGACTAGGTATACTTGCAACAGAAGGTTAATTGGAAGGAGGGAAGTACATAACCTCGACAAGCGTGAATTAAGAAAAAATAAAATAATTCCATACATTGGTGGGATTATACTACTACAATGGGTTACAAAAGCAACGAAATAATAATTATTATTTAATATTTTCTGCTCTATAAAATTTTAGAAATAATTATTAATAATTTATTTTTAATAAAAAATAAATATATTTTATGTTTTTATTATGGGAAAGGGAATTTTAACAAATGAGAATAATTAAATAAATAATTAAAAAAATATTTAAAATAAAAGTCAAAGAAAAGAAGTAAAATTTATTTATAAATTTATACACAATTTATCCAAATATGTATTCTTCTTATTTTTTTTATTCATTATATAGTAAGCGAGTTGAACGAACTTCAATCTTTAAAGCTCTAAAAATTTTAATTATCTAATTAATTTATTTATTTATTTTATTCTACCTTCGACAATCAGTTATAATTTCACAACCTCTTGTATAGTTTCTAACTGGCTCTTCCTGAGTTTTATAATTTTCTCTATCATTTTTTAGAGCATCGTAAGAGATGTGTTTTTCTTTGAAAATAATTATTATAAATTAAAATGGGTAAAAGAATTTTTCGGCTTGCAAATTTAATAATTTACTTAAATAATATTTTTGTTTGTTTAATAAAATTTTTCACTGAAATTTTTACTAAAATATATTCCGTTAAATATACATACATAGACTGGCAACAGAATGTTAAATTAAGAATGAACTATATATTATGTAATATAGAGAAAAATTTTATTTAACAATGAAGGTATCGCTACAAGAGCGAATTCACTTCAGCTAGCTATAAAAAATAAATAAATTTATCAAAGGAGGGTTGTAAAATAATTTAAATAAATATTAATTAAATACCATTACAATGCCGTTTATATCTTGTAATTTCATCAAAATTAAATATTTCACTCAAAACATAATTGTTGTAAATATTTAGAATAATAATTAAAATATAAAAATTAAATTTCATTTTATTTAAAATAATTTTTTAAAAATATTTTTTAAAGACGTCTACCTCGGTTTTCCGTTGATTTTCGGGTTTCAAGATCTCGATGATGGGAGTACATCAGAACTTCATTTCTTTTGTATTTCTTATGTATATCGATAGATATGTTCTCAGAAATTTTTGAGAATTTTTCACACTATTGAAAACCTATAAAACTAAGGTGGCTATATACTTTTGGAACGCATTAATTTTGGGTAAAGTCAAATATCCCCTAATTTCTATTGATATAGTTTCATAACGCATAAAATAACATTATCAGATCCTTAAAATGGGTTTAAAAAATATTTCAAATTAATCATAACCCACTTAAAAATTTAATTAGTTGGAGATTTAGGACAAAAATTATGTGGCTATATACTTTTGGAACGGAGTGTATTTATGTTTAAAAGAAAATTTAAGGAATTTTAATTTTAGACGAATATATTATTGATGAAATTCAGTTACTGATTGGGTTTTTCTTTTTTTCCCGACAGTTTGGCTTGAATATAAAAATAAATAATACGAGAATCTTTTTTAAATGAATTAATTTAATTTTAGAATTTGCGTAAAACTTTTTGCAAAAATAAAAAAAAATTTTATTTTAAGATGAACAAACAATTTTTTAAATTTTATAAAGTTGGAATTATACATACATATATGTATATTTCTTTATAATTCACACATTTAAATGTTTAATTTGGAAATTAAATAATAAATGTACCAACGTTTTTCTTATTTTTTAAGAAATATTGGAAAAGAGTAAAAGAAAAAAAATTCAGAAAAACTTTAATTAAATATTAAAACAGGCTAGTTTCTCCATTTTTTCAAAAATTTAATCAATAATTTATTTTTAAAATTAATTATCCCTCACTTCGAATAATTACCTACCCCCTCCAGCGTTATTTTTAAAATAATTAACTAATATTTTTTTTATTTTTACTAAATTCTACAGACAAATAAAATTTTAATTAAAATATATATAAAATTATTTAATTGTGAAGATAAAATAAATTTATAAAAAAAAGTGTATGTAGGTAGCGGGGGTGCCAAAAGTGATTTTAAAAGGCGAAAGGCGAATTCAATTAATTTAAAAATCGAACGGCGAAAGACGAAAGGCGAAACTCGCACACCCCCTACTAGGTAGTTAACTTCTAATTTAAATTTTTCCAATAAAATATTTTTAACCAAATACATACATACTAAATAAATACTACAAATTTAGTGATAAAAATTTGGAATTTTAAAATATAAATTTTTACAGAAATTAATTAAATATAATTTTTGTGTTTAAATTAAATTTTGTTCAATCCACAATTTTGTTTTCAGATTTAGTTAATCAAAGTTTGGTTTACAAAACTTTTTTTCAAAAGACTTTTTTTCTTCGACTTTCCCTTAAAAATAAAATTAATTTTAAACAAAATATTTATTTATTTCCAAACCTTTTTTTGGGAATTTTTCTTTTTTAAATTTTTTACTTTAAATGTATCTTTTTTACAAATATTTTTTTCTTTACATTTAATAGGTTCAATTTCTCCATCAAATAAATTTTTTCCATTTTTCTCTAATTTTATTTTATATTTCTCATTTTTATCAATTAAAGCTTTACATTTATAGATTTTTTTATTTTCTCGAAATTCCTCTTCACATTTCGAATTAGTAATTGAATTTTGCCGGGTTTTTAAATAATTCACTTTATTTATTTATTAAAAATTAACAAAAGTGAAAAGTTTAGTTTGGAATTTTTGGAAAACTTTTAGTATTGAATATATCTATTACATACATAGATATGTCCATCAGGAACGAGACCTGAAACATTCATCAATGTTTCGAGTCGAGAAAAGTTCGGATTTCGAATAACCATACCCATCCCTGTTACCCATATTATTTTTGATTTTTTCCCCATCCTTAAAAGTTTAAAAAAATAAAAACAAACTGAAAAATGGTTGTTCTACACGGTGAATATGTTGAATTTTTAAAAGAGAATTTAAAGGAGGGCCTTTTGGAGTAACAAAACATTTTGAAGCAAAACAAGGTGAAATAAGCACAAATAAACAAAATAGTTTATTTAAAAGTGAAGGTTTACATTCTAATAAATCATTCTCATTTTCAATTTCTTCTTCTTCTCCTCCTTTTTCTTCTTCAGAAATTTCTAAAGAATTTGAAAGTTTTTCCTTAAAAATCTCAATTTCTTTTTCTTTTTCTTCAGAAATTGCTAAAGAATTTGAAAAACTTTCCTTAAAAAATTTTTTTAATTAAAGAAAATTTTTTTGAAGAAACCTTTGGATCGTAAAAGGTTTCTTCTTCTTCTTCTTCCTCTTCTTCAATTACACTTTTTTCTTTAAATAATTTTTGTGTTAAAAGTTTGTTAGAGGGAATACTACTAATATTCTTCTCAGATTGTAACGAACAATCTAAAAATTATTTATTTTTTATTTTTAATTACATATTAAACCTTTTAATCCAAACAAAATAATAAATAATAAAAAATAATTTAACATTTTAATTAATTTATCTAACAAAAATATTTAATTTAATTTAAATAATAAATCAATGTCGGATTTGATAAATCTAATAAAAATAAATAAATAAATAAATGCACTTAAGTATTTTTTGACAGACTAGACAATTTAAAATTATTTTTTTTATTTCGAAATAAATAAATATATTTATTTAAATTTAAAGAAAAATTTAAAAAATATATTTTTTAATTAAAGAATTAATAATATTTAATATTTATTTCTTAAATTTAAATTAATTGAAAATTTTATTTAATAGATTTTTAAAATCAAAGATTAAAATGTGATTTTTTATTGAATTTTTTTGAATTAGACATTTAGATGGAAAAGTCGATTTAAATTTTAAAATTAAAAAAGATTAAATAAAAATTAATGTCCCTTTACTTTTTAACACAGAAAATAAATTGTTATTTATTAAAGAAGGGGGGAATTGGAATAATTTTTACAGTGAAGTTTGAAAAAACATTTAATAATTGCAATTTTTTCCGATAGATATCGAAAGATTTAAGGATATGTAATCTGGGCTTTCCATTGGTCTCTATTTAAAAAACAAATTTTTAGTTTTATTTAAATTTAAAAATAATAATTTTTAAGAAATTAGATAAAATGAGGTCCGGTCGCAGGTTCGAATCCTGCCCTGTGGCTAAACTTTTGCACTTTTTCTATAGTAAAAAGTTATCAAAGTCGAATTTAAGGAAATTTCTGATTTCTATCATTCTAAGTTCCCTTTCTGAAATTAAGTTTCAAAAATTATAAAAAAAATTTAATTTTCTCAAAAATTATGTTAATTACCACTTTTTGCTTTAAAAAATATAAAATTTATTTTAAAAATATTTTTAATCCCCGTGACATCGAGTTATTCGGTTGCAACCTCTTGTATAGGATTAGCTGCTTGTTTTATTAGTTTATATTTACCATTTAATGTATCCCTTTTAAGGGCTCCGTTAAGGGCTTTTAAGGCTCCGTATTTCAGAAGAGCAAAAATTCTTCCTAGCTATAAATTAAGAAATCCATTTTAAAAGTTTTTACAGAGCATTATATTCCCAAATGGAATTTTTCTTAAAATTTAACAAAGCCAACTACATAAAATTTTATTATTAATTGGGAATTTTAATTAGGGAAAGGGCATTTAAATTAAAAAACAAAAATGTATTTAAATGAACCAGATGTGAAAAAAATATAAAATATAGTAAAAACCCTTTATATTTACATAAATATAAAGTGCAAATAAAGGGCAAATTTTTATGAAATAGCCGCCTTTAAACTCTGTCAATAATGAAATTAAAAATATTAGGCGGAAAATCTTTTTGATTAATTAATTTTAAATTTTCATTTTTTAATAAACTATAAAACACAAAATAAATTTAAATACTAATAGTAAAAACAAAATAATAATCATTTAAAATTTTTTAAATAAAAATAGACAAATAAGCAAAAACTCAAGGAAAAGTATCCATCAGTGGATTTATATTCTAAAAATTTTAAATAATGATATTAAAATATAATTTGTTGGTCATTTTATTTTTTTGTGTTTTTGCAGGTATGTTTTTATATTATAATTTTAATTAGGGAAAAACACTCAAAAAAGGACTCCGAATGTTTATTTCCGTGTGGATGAAAATCAGAGATGGGTCGGAACAGTCAGAGGTTCCGGATCGGAAATGGCAGATGTGTCGGATCGGAATCGGAAACGGAAATGGCTCAAAAGTCTGAACTCGGAAATCGGAAGGAAAAAAACGCCGGAAGGCGGAAATCGGAAATAAAATTTTTATATTCATAACTGAAATAATATTTAAAATTGTAAGGTGGCAAATTACGGGCCTCCTTGAGTGTAATTAGAGAGAGTAAAAGTTCTTTTTGCAACTCAAAAGTCAAATTCGTAGGGATTAAAAGAGATATTGTGGGATTTGGTTGATTAGACGGGATATCAAAGAATTTATAGAATTAATAGGGAATTTAAAGATTAAAATTGAGGACTGATAGAGGGATAATATATAAAGCGATTTAATAAAGGAAATTTGAGGACCACCCCTGTTCGAAATGCAGAGCTAAAGTTTTTCCGGCCGAATTAATTGTTTTGAATTTTTAAGGCCTTCACGGATTTTTCGAATTTATGGTGTTTTGCCTTTAGTGTTGCGCTTTTTAAATTAACTTTGCATTTCGCCGAAAGCGATAGGCGAAATAAGGAAAGTTAATTTAATAAGTGAAAAAGGAATACAAAACACCAAAATAGGGCCCCGAAAGTAACTAGCACATCTTTGACATGTAAATAATCATAATAAATTGTAAATTAAAAATAAATATTTAGAAATATATTCTGGAAAGCCAAAAAATATTTTGAAAGGGAAAGAAGAAACAAATAAAAATGTTTCTGAATCAACAATGAATGAAGGGGTTGAAATGGGAGAATCTTCTTCTTCATCATCAAATAATTTGTTTAATTTAAATTCAATTTCAAAATCTGTTTGTGGACTTGCTGGAAATTTTAAAGAAAAAATTAAAATAAAATGTCAAAATATTTTGGAAAAGAAACTTTTACCAATTAAATATTTAAAAGGAGCAATGTTTTGTATTTTAATTATTACTGCTCCCTGTCCTGTTGAAACTATTTATTTAAAACCATTACAAAAGAACATGACACAATATGGGATGTTACAAAGTTTGTAACTACATAATAATTATGTAATAAAGTTACCATAGGGGAGGTACTTATTTAGAATTTATCGTCTGATGGAATCAGATGTTTATCTCTAAATCTCAAAAATTTACATAAACTTTTAAAATCTTTTAATTCTTTTTTTAGATGAATTTGGTTATGAAAGAGATCTTTTTATAGAATTTCCAGAATTATATCTGGGACGTGAACAAAAACTTGATAAAATAGGCTGTGAAGAAATAGAGGTAGATGGAGTGATTTATAATGAATAGGGACAGCCAAAACATGCAAATGCATGTTTTGTATGCGGATATGCCTTGAAGTGCGAAGCCCAAAAATGGTGTTTTTACATAGGTACGAGCACTTTAGGACCCGGTTCTTAATGCATATATTTGCATATTTCGACCATTTCGTGCATATTTGCATATTTGTGCATATTTTGGCAAAATTTGCATATTTTGGTCCATATTTAGGCATTTTTTGTAAAATTTTGCCAAAAATTGACCAAAATTTTGAAATTTTTTGGTCAAAAAAATTTTTTTATAAAAATTTTTTGAAAAAATATTTTCAAAAATTTTTTGTGGAAAATTTTTTTCATCAAAATTTTTGCAGAAATTTTAAATATATTAAATCTTTTAGAAGTGTTCATAAAATGTGGAATTAAAGGCTAAATTGGTGTTTTTAAATTATAATATTGATTTTTAAAGCATATTTTAACTATTTTTTGGTACATATTTCACTGCATATTTTGGCAAATTTTGCATATTTTGGTGCATATTTTGGGCTTTTTTGGTGCATATATATGCGCATATTTGGCAATTTTCCGTGCATATTTTGGCTGTCCCTAATAATGAATGTAAATATGAATTTGAATTAACTGATGATGAAACTGAGATTGATTTTAAAAATAATAAAGGAGAAATAATTAATTTAGGGAATTTGAAAAAAGATTTTGTATGTAAAGAAAATGAGGAAAATTGTGAGAAAACATATAAATATGTTGAGAGTGATGGTGTTGATAAATATGAGGTTAAATTTGAGAAGAAAAATAACAAAAAAGATAAGCAGCGTGTAAAGGGTGCTTATAAGACATATAAAAAAATTTAAATAAAATAATTAAAGAAAAAAAATGATTTTTAAATAATTTAAAAGAAATTTAAATTAAAATCCAAAAATAAAAAAAATTTAAATTACCTACTATGAAAACTATTTGTGTCAACATGAGTTAAATATTAATTATTTTAATATTTATAAAATCTTTTGTTTAATGTAATTGTATAAATTTATTTTTATTTTATTGAGAAAATAAATTAAATTTTAATCAGTAAAATAATTTGTCATTACTTTAAAAGGTCCTGGTCAACCGACCGTTATTCTTGCTAACTGACACTTATGAGTTAAATATTCTGTTAGTCACACTCAGTGATGGGAAAGTTCCAAAATTTCTCTGGAACTAGTTCCGGAACTGGAACTGGAACTTTGCCCATCACTGACTACGAAGCATAAACGATTTAAATGTTTCTAAGTGAATCATCCTTTCAATAAAATTAAAGTTGTTTAAAATATAAAAATAACTTTTGCTTAATTATTTGTATATCTAATTTTGTTTGTTTTGTCATAGTTGTCGGTTTATGGAAATTGTTCCTCGGAGATCAAAAATCGAAATGAAAATTGTTTAAAAGCCGGAGACGAAATTTTGGTAATTTCGGAGGAACAAAACTTCTTATCTATAAATTAAGAAATCTAATATTTTAGAAATTTTTACAGAGAAAAAAAACTCCCAATGAATTCCAAATGAAATTTTTCTTAAAATCTTACAAAGCAAAACTACAGAAAATTTTATTATTAATTGGGAATTTTACTTAGGTAAAGGGCATTTAAATAAAAAAACAAAAATGTATTTACATAAATATAAAGGGCAAATAAAGGGCAAATTCTTATGAAATAGCCGCCTTTAAAGCTGTCAATTATGAAATTAAAAATATTAGGCGGCAAATCCTCTTAATTTAATTAATATATTTACATATGTAAATATATTATATTTACTTTATATTTACATAAATATAAAGGGCAAATAAAGTGCAAATTTTTTTTATGAAATACCCGCTTTAAAGTCTGCCAATTAGGAAATTAAAAATATTAAGCGGCAACTCTTTTTGATTTAATTATAAACTTTCATTTTTTAATAAACTATAAAACACAAAATAAACTTAAATACTTGAGTAAAAACAAAATATTAATCATTTAAAATTTTTTAAATGAAAATAGACAAATAAGCAAAAACTCAAGGAAAAGTATCCATCATTGAATTTTGAATAATGATATT